GGTGAAAATTTCATGTCATTAGCACCTCTAGTAATATATTTACTGAGAAAAATGTTGACGTGTTCAATACTTATTTTACCCGCTGTATTTTCTGTTAAAAACATGAACGCCTGTTGGAAACAGACTGCTTGACTCAGGGACAGAAAAAGGAACACATGGTGTAATTATACACACCTGGGGCAGGCAGGTGAGTGTGGACATGGCAGAAATACAGGAAAACACAGGAGATAATGAACAAAATGCACAAAAACCCTAAAAAATTGAACACTAAAGAAAAGTAAATAAACAAGAAGCAGAGATCCTGACAGTCAGTCACTGACAATAATGGAAAATAAAATTTGCTCCAAACATCCTTGGGTTTCTAATCATGTTCCTAATGTTTAACTGTTTTTAATTTATTTTAACATTACATCATGAAGGATTTTTAGAAGCAACGAACAAAACATATTTCATTTTCACAACAACAAAAAAAAAACAAACAAAAAAAAAAAACAATAATTGTTAGAAACATGTCGTGACCCTGTGGCTCTGGGCCCACAGCTGCTGTCTATATTACAGTAAATCATTTTGATAAAGCATTAAACAAAGCCTGGAATGTTTTAATTAACCAAAGTTATTAATAAAACTGTTGTAACTTCTTTAAACCATGTTCAGACTCACATGCTGTTCATGTCAGTGTTTACCACTTTTCACCATCAATCACTATGATGGAAGAGACCAATAAACAAGGCCAAATTAAAACCATCCAGATTTATTCATTAAATACATTCTGTCCCCTGGTCCAGTTCTTTCACAGCAAAGTTGCATCAGTATTCCTTTGGGTGAGGCAATGTGGGTCAGTAAATCTGATTTATATTCACCAAAGACCTTCGCTGAAAATAGGCTAATTTAATTTTCAGGATCTGTTTCAACTACTGCTTTGAGTTCTCGACGCTCAACTTCAGCTCAGCTAAACCTGAAACTGTTGAGAGAGAAGCTGAAAGATTCAACAAAAGCCCACTTGTTTCTGTTGGTCAGTGGAGCTAATTTAAGCACAGAAAACAAGTCAGAGCTGCACGACAAAAGTCTGCTGTGATTAATTATTTGGACATGAATACTTTTAATGAATACTTCAGAATCTATACAGTAACTAAAGCCATGGCATGAGGACTTTCTAACAAAACACGTCTGATGTTCATTTCCCAGCCCTGCCTGCTTTCAGCCTGTCCCCTACCTCTGCAGTCCCCCAGTCCGAAAAGTTTGAGCTGACTTCCGTCACTGACTCAAAATGTGTCATGACAGAGATATTCTTTTTGTCTCCTCTTCTACTGTAGTTTTGAACTTTCAGTAAATAACTGCAGATTTCAACTCTTTGACAGGTTGTTTCCTGACCAAACCATGATACAAAAAATGTTTATTAATTTAAGGTGAAACTAAAGTCTGTCACTTGGGGGTTTTAGTTTTTAGGTCGTATTCACACCTGTCTGGTAGACTCGGTTCGATTGGGGGACCAAAACTGCAAGCTTTGTTTACATTTTCTGTTGGTGCGGTTTGAATTTACACTGCACTTTCTCAACTGAACTAAATCCTGCTAACAACCTATTCCTGCCCTCACCTGTGGGGGCGCTGTACAAAGAACCACTAAAGGAATCAACATGAAAACTTCAGAAGAAGACATGGAGCGCAACTTCCTTCTTCACAAAATGTAAACAAACAATAGTAACGTGACATTTTACTGGTTATAGTGTTTATTTTTTGTTTTTGGCAAATGTGCTAAACAAACAGTCTTCAACAATGAGCTCAGCATGAGAGGAAGATGAGGCGGAACCATGGAGAATGTTGTTTTGCACATAAGTCTGCTGAGGAAGCTCCGTGTTAATCGAGCAGAAGCACGTCCAGCTCGACAGTCATGATGTCCACCTTATACAGTCATCCAGCAAGTTATTTACACCATATAAGTAAATTTATTACTGTTATTACTCAGAATGTCATGTGGTATAGTCCACTTCCTGTTTTTGGAGCGGTCTCTGGTCCGCTTAGCGTTCACACACGTAATCGAACCGCACCAGAGTTTGTTTCAATCGAACCGAGACCTATGTTTTCAGGCGGACCAGAGTTCGCTTTTTTGGTCCGAATCAGTGTTCGATTACGTGTTCACACCTCTCCAAATGAACCGGACTTTCCAGGCAAACAAACTAGAGTTTGATTAAATCGGACTAAACAGTGCAGGTTTAAACATGACCTTGGTCATCTTCCACAGTTTCATGTTTGTTTAAAATCATTAGAGCAGAGGACATGCTGTGAA